GCTCCTTTAGTTTTAAGAAATTGAAACTTTTGTATTAATTAATTAGGAGTTTGGAAGGGAAGTGAACTGATATTAGTGTTTGCCTCCACTAGCATTAAACCTTTATTTTGCCCACTAATAAGGATCAAATCATGCTTTATTACTCTTATTCCATAAGAACCAAAATGGAGAAAATCTTGAGCTGCTACTTCTAATGTGGCATCAGTTTGGTTTTCATTAATAAGTCACAGCTTTATGTTGTCCTTCGTTCCTTGAAACCAGGATCCAAAGAGGCAGGTAGAAGAAGAACCATTAGAGAGGACGGCAAGAAAATGGACCTGAACTGGAAGAGAATACTACAATAAGGGAAGGGGAAAATTCAAAAAGGAATGGTCCCATGCCCTCTGAGAGGTTAAAGAAAATAAAATAGGTGAGGTGTTTATTGGATTTGGCAGTACTGAGGTCATTAGTGAACTGGTGGGACAGAAAGTATACTACAGTGAAGATCAATAGATGTTGGTGCTCAGAGAAGAGATCTGGACTGGGAATAACAGATTTGGAATCCATCTACTTTTATATGGTCCACTGAAGTCACGGACCTGGATTCAGTAACCTGGGGGAGAGAGTGAAGGAAAAAAGCAGACCTAGGGTCCAAGCTTGAAGAACATTAGCATTAATATATGGAAAGGCAGTGCATTTACAAAGAAGGAGTAGCCAGAGAGTAGCAAATGCAGAAGATTCTGGTGTGACTTAATCCATGAGAAAAGTGTTTCAAGAAGGAAAGCTAAGTATGATGTCTGAAAACAAGTCTATTGGATTCAGTGACTTACAATTCATTGATAACCTGGAATGATGGAGACAAGAAGCCGGACTACATTGAAGAAGAGGTGGGAGATGAGGAAATGAAAACATTATGGTTAGGTGCTGTTGAGTCTGTTTCAACTTAGTGACCCCATAGGCAACAGAACAGTCTAGACGACTAAAGATGAAAAATGGACAGAGTACATAGTGTTGATGAAAGATTATTTTAAATTTGAGAAATACGTTTAGAAACCAAAAGCTCTAGTTGTTGTTGTTAGTGCCGTCAAGTCTGTTCCAACTCATAACAACCCTGTATAGGGTCTCTGAGGAGCAGGCCACTGGCTCAGATCCAAAGAACCGGAGGTTGGAGGCTGAGCCAGATGTAAGATCCAGACCCAGCAGAAAGCAAGCAAGCTTGGTCTGAGTGTTCATTATATTGGAAGCAGGTTATATCCTCCCCCAGGAAACATCCTTTGATTGTCTGCTCATAACCAATCATCATAGCATTTACACTGCTCATAGCCAATCATCACAGAGTTAACTGCGCTACATTAGATCTCACCATAGGGATAACCAACCACATCTCAACTGCCAAAGCACTGGGAATCCTGGCCCACTCAAGTTGACACGAATGAACCATAAGTATCACAATGGTTAGTTAGGGGGTATTAGGATTTTGTTGGCATATAGAGCACTTTTTTATGGCATAGTACTTTTTTATGGAAGCTGCGGGGAATTTACTGTCTCTGAGGCCGTCTTATAAAACATTATGTGCCCTGAAAACTTTCACTCAATCTACAATAAAAACCTTTAAAAAAATGTTTTTGTGATAAACAAACAAAAAAAACACATTATGACCATTTCAGATGTAGAAAAGACAGGTGACTTTATTATTCTTCCTAAGTGCCTTTGAGTCGGCTCTGACTCAGCGACCCTGTATAGGGTTTCAGAGGAATAAGTTTAAACCACTGATCTTATGGTTAGCAGTCCAGTGCTTATCCTATAGCGCCACACAGGACTCCAAAGATAGGTTTATACTTGATGAGTTCTTGGAAAGTACGGGGGCAGCTTTAAAAAGTTCACGGAGAAATTTCATTGTTTTCATTCCTTTTTTTTTTTTTTTTTGGACTGAGTCTTTTTTTTAATGTTTTATTGTGAATTATGTGATAGTTTACATGGGAGAACATTAGTTTTACATTCATCCTATCGTATATCGTTTCATTGCCATGGTTACAATCCCCTCCATCAACCAACCAAAGGGTATACACTACAAGCCTGCACCTCGCTCATCAACACACGG